CTCAGTGATTCTATGTTATTGGAATAATATTTACTGCCCATTACATCTGTTGATCTGCAGTGAGGAGTTTCATTTTGTTTTGTTTTGTTTTGTTTTGTTTTGTTTTGTTTTTTAATCTATGTCACATCCTTTCCTCTGCCTGGCTTTGAGCTCTAAGGACCCCAGCTTGCTTCTGTCACCATACTTTTTCACCTGTGCCACATGCCTGCTGCAGCTAGAGGCTGAGCAGCGAGAGAACCCCCCACATGCAAGACCACCACCACCAACACCACCATCTATCTTCCTTCTTTGGTCTTCAGTAGCTGCCATTCAAACTAATTGCTTGTATTCTGTTATAATTTTATTCAGATTTGTAGAAAACATACAGCGAGGTTGTTACTACCTGACTAGAAAACCAATTGTTCCCTACCCCAGATTTCTTAAGAAACATCCTTGCCCCTTTTGGCTGCCTTTTTGGCATCTGTCTTACTTCTGTGTTCCACAGTTCTGTCTAGCTCTCCTTGGTCAGCATAAATGTCAATCTTTGATCTTCTCTTTCTAGAAGATCTTACTATCTTTTTTCACTTAAGCAAATCCTTACTTAGTATATTTACTTTCAGTTATTTAGAACAATCTCTTTTGCTCCACAGCACATTCATTGGTTATATTTCAAGCAGAAAATATAGAACTCATCAAAAGCGGTATCTGAAAGTGCTGAGGCCGTATTTCAACCATAAGTGTAAGCAGTTTTTGATACTTTCCTCTAATAAGAACCACAAGTTGAACAGTAACGTAGTAAGAGTCTTTTCTTCTGACTTTCTGTTTTGTGAATTTGTATATACATATACATATATATGCATATATGAGTGATCACTGAAGGATATTGGTTTTGAAATATTTTTTGTTACTGTGGAGAATTACTTTTAAAGTATAGTAAACCTTCCTTCTGTTTCTCTAAACTGCAAGACAAACAAAAGTTGGAAAAACAAAGATAAGGACACTAAATAGTCTGATAATTTACTTTGAAGTAATTTGTATCGATTTCCAAATGGCTGACTTGGGACAAGTACATGCATTATAGGTTTTGAATCTAGAAAAACCTTATTGTTTTAAAGGCAGAAAACAAAATTGAAACAATAAAATATAGCTCAAATTAAATGACAGTGATGAAAAATCAAATGCCTAGAAGAGGAAGAACATGCAAAGAATACCAGATTTTGTAGACCCAGGCATAGTTTGGTGAGTGGATTTCTGGTCCTTGTCTTGTCCTTGCACAACAGGTTGTTTTTGGTACCAGAACTGTTACCCTACATTCCTTGGTACTCTGCAGGCTTATTCATGAACTCTCTTGTTACATACACATAGATCTATTTGGACTCAAAGTTTCTGATAAGAATGAAAATGCTGAGCTCCTTATTAGAGTTCCTAAGGTGTGCTGCTCTTCACGTTCATTGCTGTCTGCCTATGGGCATTTTGTCTGCCTTTCTTCAACCTCAGCATTTGTCATTCCAACCTGTTCCATTTTATTTTCTAAATTTAATTTATTGCTATATGAAATGCATATCTGAAATGCATTATCTACACACATCTGAGGTATAAACCTTGAAAATTTTTGCATATGAATATCTATGTGAACAGCACCCATATTGAGACATAAATGTTTCATTTCTAATATGTTCCTTCATTTCCCTTCAAAGTAATCATTATTCAGACTTCAATTATCATTAATTAATTTTTCCTGATCTTGTATGTAATAAATGAGATTATACACTGGATGTCTTTTATGATTGATTTCTTTCATGTAACATGTTTTAATTAATTAGCTTGGCTTGTAGTTTATAACAGTCTGTTCTGGTTGTATGAGTACCGTATGTACTTTTGTTCTAGAAAAGGCTATTTTCTCTGGTTCAGGTCTATATTTTACCTGTCATCGCTAATTTTTTCAGATGGCTGGGTAACCTTGGTGTTCTTCATATATATTATTATAAAACAAAGCAGGGGGCCAGGGAGATAACTCAGTAGAATAAGCGCTTGCCTGGCAAACGCAAAGGCCTGAGTTCAATCCCTGGTTCCAGAAAAAAAAAAAAGCATCTCATGCTTCTAGCACTGCATAAGAATGTTTATGCAAGCCCCATGTGTCAGAACAGCATACACACTGAAAGGCTTTGAGTATTTACCTAAAGACAATGAGTATACTGCCTACACTATCTCCCTATTGCTAAGACAACTGGGTCCTCCCATGAAACACAAGCCCCATTCGAAGACCCCCATTCCTTCCAAGCATTTTGCTCAGGTTCTGAGGAAATATATCAGTGAACATGATTGATAGACAACCGTATCTTTTCCTTTTAAGTAGGGTGGTGGGGCTATACACAATGAAACCAAGGCTCAAACAGTTCCACAGTTTTGCCAATCAATTTTCCAATCACAGTTTTCATTTTCTTTCATTCTTATCCTGCCAAGACGGGATCTGATTCTATGTTGAAGCATATCTTTCTCCTCTCCTCACTTCTAGTGCATAGATTTATGATCTCCAGTTATTATTGGGGGGATATTTTCATGGGTCCTAACTGTATTCATTATCCAAAATTGGATGATTTACTTAAATTATCAGAGTATAAGGGAAAGTGAATGAACTTTGAAGTCTCCCAGAATCGTTACCTGGATTTCTTGCTTAGTATTCTTCCTATTGCTGAATAAGTCGTTTGTTCCTTCTAGGCCCTAATTTTCTTTTCACTAAAGTGGAGAAGAAATTGCATACATGTGGGCTTGTTGCAAGAGCTAACATTGCATGGGTAAGGTGCCTAAGACATTAGAAAAGAGTTGCTTTGGCCTTTATCTCCCTTTTTCCCTTTCCCTCACTTGCTGCCCTTTACTTTCCTCCTTTAAACTTCTTATTCATGTATCTTTTCTGGTGAGCCTTCATTTCCTCTTCTGAGAAATAGGAAGACTATATCTTTCTACCTTGCTTTTAACCTTGATGAGGCTGAAAAGGCAGCATTTTGCAATGATAAAATAATCCTCAAACATAAAACAATGCAACCATTAAAAATAATAACAGTTACAATGAAGCATGCCATTATACCATAAGGCAAAATGATACATATAAACTCCATCACAAGGTCATCTGTAATGTGTTTACAATGCATCATGTTTAAATTATAAAACTCTGTACATTCCTGCTTGTATCTGCTTAAAGAAGTTAGAAAATTAACATGTTGTATCCTGTTTTCCATGTATTTTCTGAACTGATAATGATTTTGAGTTGATGACCAGGCTTAAAAGAAGCAAAATAAATGCATCGGCAAGTAGCTTGTGACTGGATGGAAGCAGAGTTGTATAAATGGAAAGCAGCCCTTATCTCTCAGTGTATGTTATCTTACTGATGCCTGTGGGGTGCAGGACAGTAAAAAATAGGGTTTCCTGAAGATTTCTCCCCAGCCTCTCTATTGGGTGTCACTGTTTATAGATACACTTAACTTTGGCAAGGCTCCTTGAAGATGTTGAATTTATTTGCTGTCTTAAATTGCTATTGGCTTAGATTGTCTCAACCTAGTTTAAAGTCATAAGCAGTAAAATCTTTACACTGGTGAAAGTTCTAGTGCTTGGATTCCCATTGCCCTGCCCCTTTACTTTAGGTTACTCCTGAGGTGTTGATCAGAATCATGCTTTCTGTGAGGGAGAAGACTGAGAAGTTCACCCTGACTAAAGTGTGACTCCTTGCAGGCCAACCCTTTGTGAATCCCGACGGAACTCCTGCAATATACAACCCGCCCGCTAGTCAGCAGCCCCTGCGGAGCGCCATGGTGGGGCAGTCCCAGCAGCAGCCACAGCAGCAGCCCTCCCCTCAGCCTCAGCAGCAGGTGCAGCCTCCACAACAGCAGATGGCAGGCACCCTGGTGACTCAGGTGAGAAGCTGCCTGGATAGCAAGAAGAGGAAGAACTCAGAGATAAGGGCCACGTGTTCTTCAGAAGAGCAGTGCATCTGAAAGGGGCAGGGTTTTTTTTAGCAGTGGCACCACCAACAATCATGTAAGCCTAATAAGGAGAACCTGCCAGTGTAGAATCATTGATTTCAGGTTCATGAAATTTCATTGATCCTTAAGCTTAGAGGGAAATGCTTGCCTTAGCCAACACAAGCACGTGCAGGGCAGGAGCAGATAAAAGGGAACATGAGTATGTGCTTTCTTGGGTCTGGGTGCTGTTTTGAGGCATAAAGAAATATTTTTCTGGGAGACGGAACTCAATCTCATGCAGCTTTTGTGTCACCTTGCTCTACACCATCTTAGATCAAATGCTAATGTCTGCAGAGTCCTTATTCAATTAACGATCTATGCAAAGAGGAGAAATAAGTTGTTCGAAAATGGACTGGCTGCTCTTACCTATGAAGATGCAAAGCTGCTCTTGCGTAGAAACCTGCAGTGTCTCAGAAGGCAGCCAGTCTAAACTTCCTTTTTATTTTTTTTTACTTCTTGTTCTTTGGGCAATATTTGTGTACTCACAGAAGCCAATGAGCAGTAACACCAAACGAACACCACTAACTTAAGAGTGGCCACTGTGTGCAAGTGTGCCTCCCCCAGGCTGCCTCACTCTGGTCTGGTGGCCTTGACTTATTTTGGCAGCTGGTTCTTTTCCCTGGAGTGTAGTGAATCTAGATGACATCTTAGAGACAGTGATGTTTTTCCTAAACAATTTTAACTCTAGTGTTTTCCTGTTACCTGATCAGCCTTTTCTCTGTTTCCCTTCAGTCCGTCCAGGGCCTACAAGCATCCTCCCAGTCAGTGCAATATCCAGCAGTCTCTTTTCCTCCCCAGCATCTCCTGTCTGTGTCTCCAACGCAGCACTTCCCCATGGTACTGTATCTTATGCACATGACTTTTCCCCCGGGACAGCATGCCTACTGCTTTTATTGTTTGCCCAAGCAGCTCTGGATAATTGTGGGTGCTGTGACTGTGAGATGAGGTATGTGTGCGAATGCCTCATTCCTAAACAAGTCAGTCTAACTCTGAAAAAGGTCTTGTTTTTGTCTCTGCATACTGTCTTATGTTAAGTATCTCTACATTTGGTGCTTGCTTTTTAACCATTCACTATAAGTCAGGAATTGAATATGTTCACAGTTAAAAGTCAGGAGTGAGAGATCTCTAAACTTGCTGTAAGGGTTTGGAGAATATTTCAGTCAGAGTCTGAGTAGCAACCATCATTCCCCTATGTTTCAGATGTAAATATTCCTCTAGGTTTTCCACAATTTTCTTTCATTCTTCCCTCAGAACAGTAGGTCTTTTGCAGCAATATTTTAAAGAGTGAGCATTGTCCCTAAATCTTAAGCAGACCATACAGCAAACTTTCTCTGATTTAGGCATATGATGCTTTGGAGACCCCAGACTTGGCTCTATCTTTACAGTAGCAGTGGCTGGTGAAGAATACAGGTGCATCTTCCCCTCTCCAGAGGCAGGTCTGTCCGCTAAGAAGACCAGCTGGCTCTTCACAGCAAAACGCCAAGCCTTCCTTGACTATATGACCATCCCCCAAAGCTTGAGTCATCAATGAGAAAAAGTGTCACCACTGAAAGGAGATTTGGTTTAGACAGTTTACCTTCTCTGACTCAGAGCGATGAAAGGGATTACTCATGTGATGCCCTCTTGTTATATTTTGGCTGAAGAATTTCTTGGTTTAATATCTTTTCAATTTATAATTCCTTCCTGTGCCCCCACCACAAGTGTGCGTCCTGCATGTGCCTCAGTGTGCTGCTCTCATTACCAAGCCTATCTTGCTGATTGCCTCACTTCTGTTCCTGATGGCAGAGAGACGATGTGGCAACGCAGTTCAGCCAGATGAACCTGAGCCGGCAGTCCTCAGGCGACACTCCTGAGCCCCCTTCCGGTCCTGTATACCAGTCCTCTCTCATGCCACAACCCCCCCAGCAGCCAAGCTATGTCATCGCCTCCACAGGCCAGCAACTGTCCACAGGAGGGTTCTCGGGCTCCGGACCTCCCATCTCCCAGCAAGTTCTTCAGCCACCGCCCTCACCACAGGGATTTGTGCAACAGTCTCCCCCCACACAGGTACATGTGCTTTCCATCCCTTGTGTGACTCAGCTGACTTTCTGAGGTATTTCTGACCTTTACCTTTCTACTTAGAATATTTCCCAGTTAGTGTTTCCCACCCATCAGATTCACTTCCCAATGCCAGGACCTGTTTTGTTCTTTTACTCATCACTGGTGAACAGTTGGAAGGCTCCGAAAGTCAGTTGAATGATCAGGGAATGTCCCATTTTCCAAGCTGCTGGGGTACAGACATAAAAAGCATTCACTCCTATTTGCATGTGCCTTGCTTACATGATTGTCTAGGAAGGGAAAGCCCTGGGGAGGGTGGAGGCCACCCATGGGGACTTTGAACCCTCTCTTCCCACTCAAGAAATGCAAGATTTTTTTTCTTTACCAATTCAAAAGCATTTTTTGGAGCTCTTCTGGTGCTTCAAGGGTGAGCCTCTCTATGAATATAAAGGAGAAAGGCAAGCCAATATCCACTGTCCTTTCTTTCCCTAAGGGGAAGCATAGCTCATGACTGCTTTCACAGGTAGCTATTAATCATATTTAATTGACTTGAGCATGTAAGACACCACAGATCACTGATTTTTACTGTCTTCTCAAAGACTGATTATATGTTACTGTTCACTACCAAACATCACTGCTACTCTCCTGGGTATCCCTTGTAGAATATTGGATGTGATTACTGTCAAGATATAAAATGCACAGAGGCATTTTCTGGTCCATTTTCAAGGCACACATATCCCAAGAAAGTTCCATCTTAATTATGAAGTATTGCACTGGATGAGCTGTGTAAAATGCAGTGTCACCTTTGTGTCATTTGTTTCGCTGCCTTAACATGTTGAATAAATTATTTTCCCTTCAAGCCACACAAAACTCTCTACTATGAGATGATATTCGTTCAGTTGTTCATTTTATTTTGAGTGATTAATTAATAGCTCATCTTCAGTCACCAACAAGGTAATATATCTTCCCTGGTGGGATTTAAAGAGATGCATAAAATAATTTTAAGTTACAGGGGAAAGGGCTTCATTAATATATTCATTATTTTACCAATAAATTAAATACTTCTGGTTTAATTATTGGGAGAATATAGTTTAGGTTTCAGCCTAAATAGCATCATTAAGTACCCTCACCCATTTCATTGTCAAGAGAGGAGTTAGCAGAATGCTTAATAGAGGGCTTAAAGGGAAAACTCATTCAGCAGTAGAGGAATTCATTATTAGTCCTATGGAAGCAAAGACAACGAAGACCCCTGACACGCCACTTAACAGAAATCCTCTCATTCCTTCTTCAGTGGATCTAAGACATAATAAGGAGGAAAGCAGCGCAGATGTTCACAGGGTATGCTCGGTCTGGGCATTTAAATACTTCTGTTTTAAAGAACCCCAGATACAAGGATAGTTTATATCTTTGGGGATTTTCAATTTAGTAAGTATCTCAAAATTTAGTTATACAACTGTGGAACAAAAAGAAAAAAAACTCAAATGAGATTCAGCCTATGTGTGTCTACGGAAAATATGTTAACTTTATGAGAAAATAAACTCAGTGGTCAATTTTCTCTCAATTGTTTTTGCTTTCTGAATGTCCACTAGCAGAACTAAACAGGAAACACACAGAAAACTCAAAGATCCCTTTAAAAAAAGAAATGAGACAAGTGTTTATTTTTATGATCTTTTTCTTTTCTATGCTACTCATATCATTTTCAGAGTCTCCATATTATAATATGGTTGGCTAAAAATATACACTCACTCGGGCAGGCCAGATAATTCAGTGGATTAAAATGCAGGAACAATGACCAGGTCCGACCGCCCCCCCCCCCCCGCGTGCCACACTGAGACAGCGATTGAGACTAGGTTATTGTGGCACATGTCTGTAATCCCAGCCTTTGCAAGGCTGAAAACAGGAGGATCACTGTGAGTCCGATCTGGGGGCCAGGGAGATAGCTCAGTAGAATAAGTGCTTGCCTGGCAAGTGCAAGGTCCTGAGTTTGATCCCTGGTATCATCAAAAAAATAAAAAAACAACACTATGAGTCTAATCTGTATAGTGAGAGATCCTGTAGACACTGTACTATATAAATATATTTTTTCTTTCTCTTTTGGACCATATTTTTCCTTTCTCTCTAAATGATCCATGCTGATTCTTTAGAAGATGCCTCTTAGCTGGGCTCACTTTCTTCCTCCCTGAGGGAAGATAAGTGTGGACAAAGCATCCATTTGCTCCACAAGGCTGAAGTCCTCAATGCCTAAGAGATGAGAGCATGCTCTGCTGTGGAGAAGAGCTAGACAGAGGCAGTAATAAAACAAATCAAAACAAAAAAGAATAGCTTCAAGGTATATCTTCCATGAAGCTTTACATTTATGCAACTACTTTTATTGCTCATCAGGATACTTCAAGTATTTGAACTCCAACTTTTTGTCCTGAATTTATTTTTCGCTTCCTATTAAATGTAGACCAGCAGGGCGGGGAATAGCTAAAACATTCATGAGCTTGCATGTGATAAAGACTCAGTCTTTTCAAGAAAGCAAAATGCCATCGTTTCTCAAAGACATGTAGGGATACTACTGATGAAGGCGTTAGACGATAGGTGCTCTTATTCCTAATGCTGGAAGGCGTCTGATGCCTAATACTAATAATATTTAATTAAACCACAGTTTGCCAGAACACAAAACTTCTCAGAACTCCTGAGTTATCGGTTTTCATTGTTTATAAACTTCTTTACAAAAAAAAATAACTGATAGGGTTAAATCAATATAAATAAGGCATGCAATAAATAAATTAGTTGTCAGATTCTTATCCATGTTCGTTTTAGACTCATTCAGGCCCTCACTCTTCCACATTGATATTACTAGGCAATCAGAATCATAGCTCATAATAATTCCAGGGAACTGCAGCATCACAGAGCCATAAAAATTGTTCTCTTTTATTTCAACTTTATCCCGAGGCAAGAAAATATGTTAAATTTTTCAGTAGCAAAATTGAAAGAGAAAGATGTTTCTTATTTGACGTGAGATAGTCAGAAAATAAAATAGCAAATAAAATCTAAGTTCTCATGTAAGTGGCTCATAACTTTATGCTGCGTGTGCACTACCTGTCAGCTGGCTGCTAGGTTGGTGCTGCCTGCTCTATAGAGAAGATAGTAGGAGGCTTGAAAATGGAAAACCATTATTGTAATATAAATGACCTAAGGCAGGCAGACAAATCTTTTCAGAACAGGAAACATTTAATTTCAGTGAAAGTAATTAGAATATTTTCTTTTTCTTTTATTCTGATTCATTAGAAAATTATGCATGGTGGTAGAAAACAAAATTTTAATATATTGCGATTTTTATATTTAATATATTTTTTCATACACGTTATATCCAAATCACTGTACACTGTGCTTTGACAGACTTTAAAGCTCATCCCAGGTGGATTGTTTCTGTTCCATAGAGCAGCTTAACTGAGGCCACATCACTGACTAAACAGCAGGGGGACCTGTCAGGAAGGGAGCCTCCAGTCTCCCTGTGTTTTCTCCCATAGCAGAGCAGGCTGGGTTTCTTTACTCAGTGGCTGGGGGCCTTCATTCAGCAAATGAAGTTGCATGTCTTCTTGAGGTTCAGACTTGCAAATATCAACCACTACTTCTGCCTCCTTGTGCTGGCCACACTGAGCCACAGAGCCACAGATTCAAGGGTTTAGAGAATGGATCCACTGCATCAGGAGGAGTAGCTTACATACACAGACCTGAGAAAACTTTGTGGGAGTTTATCTTTATTATCTACCAAAATCAAATTTCATCATAAATAACATTACATTTTAAAAATTTCTTTCTTTCTTTCTTTCTTTCTTTCTTTCTTTCTTTCTTTCTTTCTTTCTTTCTTTTTTTCTTTCTTCGACATGTGGTGCTAAGATTGGGCTGAGGCAGGCCAAATAGCTCAGCAGATTAGAGTGTCTGCAAGCAGGCACAGGGGGCCCCGGGTTCTAATCCCCCCAAATCCCCGCCTGCCTTGCTGGCCAGTCCCCGAGGCGCACTGAAAGGGCTACTGAGATTGGGTGTGGTGGCGTGCACCTGTGATCCCAGCACTTGGGAGGCTGTAAACAGGTGAATCGCTGCGAGTCCGATCTAGTTCTGAGACCCTGAACACCCTGTAAACCCTTCCCTAAAATACAGAAAAAATAAATAAATAAAAAATAAGAATGGACTGAAATACAAGGTCCTCCTGCCCAATCCTTTCCAGAGTTCTGGCATTACAGGATGTGCCACCGCACCTGGCCCAGTGATACTGTGTACAGTTCTCACCCTCTGCTGTTTCCTCCCTATCTTCCACAGATGCCTGTGTATTATTATCCATCTGGTCAGTACCCTACCTCAACTTCACAACAGTATCGGTCCATGGCCTCAGTGCAGTACAATGCTCAGAGGAGTCAGCAGATGCCACAGGCAACGCAGCAAGCAGGTATGTGCATGGAATCTGTTTCCCATATTTTCTTCCAACCCAATTATAATCCCTGGCGAATTTTGTAGGTGTTCTCATTGGATTAAAACCCAAATTTTGATGATGTAAATCGGTATGCTTCTCCCACCCAAAGATATTAACAAAACATTTGATCAACACTGTATAGAAAAGTAACAGGAATAAGGAGGTGAAACCTACACCAGATGTACAACCTAAACTCAGTCTCCACAAGTTATGTTTGGATCCTCTCACTTTGTATTAAAGCAGAGTGACAACCACATCCCTAACTTCCTAGTTCACACTTTTCTTTTCAGTTTAAAAAGAATGCTTTCTCTGTTCCTAAGGCTAGGGAACCAAATTAGGTCACCCTGATAACATCCTAGCAAGCACTGTCTTTAGAAGAAGGCTACTGACAATGGTGGAAGTCTGCTTCGTGGTTCACGCTCATGATGGCCACCCGCCTCCTGCCCAGAGCCGGCAGCCACTGTGCAGTGGGAAGGGGGGCCGATACACTGTACGAGAGTGAGTAGCAGGTCTCACAGTGAACCGGTCTCTTTCCCTACTGTGTCACACTCCTAATGGAATGCCGTTTCCCAGAGAGCAGCAGAAACCTAGCAGGGCTGACTGACTTGTGCTAGGGAAAGGTTTGTGTCGTCCCTGCTGAGCAGCTGCAGGAAAACCTGCTAATTGTTATGCTGAAGACGGCCTGCCAGAGAATCTGCCTTTGGTAAGTAGGTCATGGAAAAGCGCACATGCGCACTGCTGCTGCGGCGCATAGCTGCCGCTCTGCGATCCGCACTGAATACACTGATACACATATGTGATATGTACAGACGTACGTATGTAGCATATACATGATATGTACCACTTTCGTAAGTTCTGAAAAAAATCTAAAAGCCTTTTCATGATTCGTGCCAATCCCAGACACTCCTAAGAATGCTAAGGATGTTAGCATTCTAGTATTGATGTTGCTAGTATTTTGTCAGATTGGACAAAGAATTAAACTCCTCTGTATTGTGAAAGGCTGTATGTTCTTAAATTAATTTTATAATTATTTAAAGTCTCATGGAGAATTAAGCAACAAGCCAGATTTTGTCACATTTCAACATTTTATTAGCTCAAAAAAAGAATTTATTTGACCTCTCATTAGACTTTACATGTTTGCAAAAATAAGAACAAAAAGTTTCAAATTATTTTTATTAAAAAAGTGAAAATATTTTCTTGGTGGTTGGAAATATGAGCATCTGTATCATCTTCGTGGTAACTGCTATCAATTTCGCTGTATAGCTCTAGAAATACATTGCTTGCATTTTGAGCCGTCTCGTCTTCTTCTGCTAATGTTTAGCTAAATGTTGATGTGTACTTTTCTAGACCTTGGTCCTGAAGCCAGGGAGGTTTCCTATTTATGTATGAATTTCGAAGTGGGGAGATGGAGATATTTAATTGTAATGATCTTGATTTTATTAAGTTTAGTGTTATGTGTCACATTTTTCTAAAGCGATATTTCAGTCTTTTGGTAATCATCATATAAAGGTGGTTGGTTGCAGACTCCTGCAATTTGCTGAGCTCTCAGAGAGAGAGAGAGAGTTGGATAAAGATGTTAGCAGAGTAACAGAATTAAATTTAGGACAACTCTAGCTCTTTAATGACTCTTATATTGCTATTTCTTCGTGCGACTGACTTCACTGAGTTACATCACAAGAAAAAATACACGTGACTTTTTCCTCCTTTAATAAAACATTGCCGGAGAATTTAGAATTTTACAGCATGGAGAGACCTAACTGGTCCAGCTACATTCTTGGCCAGGTTGGTGGCTTAGATTAGCTTCATATTCACACATTACCAGAAAATTAATGGTTCTGTGATAAGAGCAATTCATTCCCTAGACAGCATCATGCTCAACATAAATACAAGGGCAGTGCTTCAGATGTTCAGGACTTGAATGCAGTGAGTGGGGTCTGTGGAGGCTGCAGAAGGGAGAAACTGAAAGGAAAAGCAGCATCAACCCACACAGAATGCTGAGATCTTGGAGCTCCTGCTAACCCCACGTGATGAGGTCTGAAATTCCAACACAACTTCTGCTGTGGCATTCACTTAGCTTTGCACTGGGGATTGACCCCGACTTCATGGAGCATCACCGCTGAGTACAATCCAGCTTATTTCGCGCCTATGTGGCAGGGTGTAGTTGCTACACATCCCACAAATAGGAACAAGTAGGAAGCTTTCGCAGAGCAGGGGAAACCGAAGGAGCTTTCAGTGGAATATGGCAGGGCTATTTGTAGGGGTGACTCTATGTTTTTAGACCATCTTATAGAGTAAATAGTTTCTTTAGACAACTGGAAAAAAAAAAAGAAAAAGACCAAAACGAAAAAAAGACAGGTTTTCTAGAGGAATTTGAGGGTAGAACTTCTTTCTCTGTCATTACATCAAAATCAAGGCTAGTACTGGCATGGTCCTCTCCCAGAGACTAATTCTGACTCACTTTTCTTTCTGTCTTCTAAAGTACTGATTCCATCCTACCCTCAACTGATATTGACACCAGATGGTGTCAAACATCCTGAGCTATTGCGTGGTTCATCCTTTAGTGGGGCAACATTATTTCCTTGAAAACCAAATTATATTTTAATCTCAATTTGCTTCTTGTCATTCTTCATCATTTTTATTCACTTGCAGTAAAAGATATCTTTTTTCTCCCCTATTGAGACCTCTGTCAGTTACACCTTCCTAGGCCCTAAAACTACATTCAGTGAATTTTTATAAAGGGGATTAGGCATTTTTGAATTGATTAAGTAGAACACTTAAGTTATATTGAGGCCAAGTAAGAGGACGTAACTGTTCTTCTTGGTGATATTGCTCTATTTATCCTATAAATAAGTGGTGGAAATTCTATACCAAGGGAAGAAGAAAATGCCAGTAATGATCTTAAGTAAAGGTCAGTTTTGGAGAAATCAAATGGTAGATTAGCATAGAGATACTTGGATTTTTACCTCTACCTATATGAGGAATTTTATAAATTCTAAATATCTCTGTCTCAGTTACTTTTTTCTCTTGTTGCTGGGACCAAATACCTGACATCCAAAATTAAGGAAGGAAAGATTTATTTAGCTCACAGTTTATGGAGGTTTCAGTCCATACTTCGCTGGCTCCCAGGCAGAGTGCCACATGGCAGAGGGCAGCAGCTCATGTCAATGAAAAACAACAAAGAGCAAAGTCAAAAGGGAGGAGTAGAGACAACAATGGCAGAGGGAAGCCTCTCTCCTTTCCTTATACAACCTTCAGGCTATCGGCTCCAGGTTGGATGTAGTACTCACACCCATAATCCCAGCTATGGATCATGAATTAATCATAAACTCTAGAAGCAGCCCCAATGATTGCAGGAGGCTTTGGGGTGACACCTAGAAACAAACCATAACCATCTCTAATGGAAAATAGTGTTTATTTATTACAACTCCAACATTCCCAGGAACCCCCAAAAATGAAGGATCCATTTTTACAAGATAACTGTTGATAATTCCAGGTTACAAAGAAGAACAGTTCCTACTATATCCCAAAAAATGACTCTAGGTTTTTAAATAATTCTGGCATTAAAATACTTGGAAATGAGAGTGTCTTACCAGAGAACAGATTTCTCAGTGGTCGAGAGTTAACATGGGGTTTCAATTAACAAACTTTTCAGTCCTTAATGTTTAAGTTTTAGTGCTCAAGTATTATGCTGCTTTTAGTTAGGATATGTTTCAAAGTAAATTTACTCTTGTTGAAATCATCCTTAAGACCATAAAAACAAAAAAATAACAATAATTAAAGCTCCCATTTATTCAATATCTCTTATGGGTGAGTTGCCTCATTCAGCATTGACCAACAGTTTAATCCTCATCACAAATTTACAAGGAAAATGTTAGCTTCCTTGCTTTGTAGTCGGGGGAAACTGTTCCTCACTGAGGTAAAATAAATTACCCTGGATTCCAGACTTGACAGAGTTGAAAGAAACACCCAGGCTTGACAGATTTTAAGTCCTTATATGTATTAACTGCTTTCTTGACACAGTAGAAAAACAGCAGTTTTACCTTTACCTTTAGTTATAACATAGAAGACCATCTAAAAACCAGTATGTTGGAATCACACCAGCATGCTTATGACACTAAGGCAGGAAATATTTAATTAATTGTTCAGTAGACTTAAAAGAAATTGCCCTAAAAGCAGAAAAATATAGGAAAACTGAACTTTTACCCCCCTACACAGCATATTGCTCTGTATTTGCAGAGCTGATCAATAACATAGAAAATATCACTAGGAAGTTGAGACATTTTGTGTGCAATTGCTCTTTAGAAAGAAAAAGAAACTGTTTTCTCTTATGCAGTGCTTTCAAGTCTAAATTTTCTTTTCAGACTTAAAAAGAGATATGCATAGCTTTTTTCTGGCCTCTCCAAGATTTTGGACATATCTGAAAGAAACAAATATGAATGAATACAATCTTAAACACTTTAATAAATGGATATTTTAAAGAGAACCTGGATTTGGTATTGGAATAATACTGGCCAGGTAAAATAAATTGGAAGTGTTTCTTCCCCCTCTTTTGTTTGAAGTAATGCTATGTAAATGATGCTAAATCTTCTGTAACTGTTTGTAGATTCCCCAGTGGGATTATCTGATTATTTTCACATCAATCCATTAACTTTTTACTTCATGATAATTTCTAAAGTTCTTACATTATGAATTCAACTCTTTCATGTATATAAGTCTGTTCACATTGTCTGTTTCATCTTTTGCGAATTTTAGAAGTTTGTGAGTGGTATCAGGAAATTGACCCATTTCCCATAAACTGTAAAATTTAAGGATATAAGCTTTTTGGTTGTATTTGTTTAGTATCATTTCAGTATCTGGAGATTGTGTTGTGATATTCTGATTAATTCCTGATATTGATGTTTTTTAAATGTTCTGTTTCTGTTTTGTCTATCTTGGTAGATTTATGAAATTTATGGATCTTTTCAAAGAAGCAGCTC